TGATGGGATGATGACGACGGTGTTTTGATGGTGATTGATGATGATGATGATGATGATGATGATGATGATGATGATGATGATGATGATGATGATGATGATGATGATGGTGGTGGTGGTGATGATGACGACGTGATGATGATGATGGTGGTGATGATGAGTGCTGATGGTGAGTGATCGTGCGATTCTGATGGTAAATGGTGGTGATGATGATGGGGACGAAGTGGTGAGTCAGCGAGTAGTGATGATGATGATGATGATGATGATGATGATGATGATGATGATCGTTCGATGCCGATGATGGTGAGTGATCGTGCGATGGTGATGGTGATGCTGACGGTGATGATGATGATGATGATGATCATGATGATGATGATGATGATGATGATGATGATGATGATGATGATGATGATGATGATGATGATGATGATGATGATGAGTGGGGAGTGATGGTGATGGTGATGATGATGCGGAGGAGGAAGCAAAGAGGAGCAGAGGAGAGGGAGGAGGACGAGAGATCCTGCGCGGAGGGTGTGCAGAGAAAACAAGAACCCCACTTAGGATGTGGGGAAAAAGTGCCTCGGTGAATGCCGTCCAGCAGCTCCCCCCAGTAGCGCCTCATAAGTACCGATGCCAGGCGCACCGTGCCCCACAGTGCTCCCTACACATCGCCCAGCAGCGGCCAGATGGCGCCCCCAAGAGCGCCCCATGGCGCCATGGGGCGCTGCTGGGCGCCATGGTGACGGCCAAGAGTCGCCACCGGCGAAACGAAACCCGAAGGAAACGGGCCCTGAGGCTTCTCGCCGTTTTCGGGCTCTCGGTGCCCCCCACGGGCCCCGGAACTGTCAGAAGGCGCCTCAGGATGAGGATCTCGTCCAGGGGGAAGGCCGTGGGGTCCAGGTCCCGTTTCCCTCGGGACCCGCTTCCCCCATGCTAAACAGGGACGACACAGAGCTTCCGTGAGTTGCGTTCTGGCATTCGGCGGAACAAGAGAATTCTTTTTCGTCCTCCCTGGCAGCGGCGTGCTCTGCAGCACAGCGGTTCCAGTCGGTGGATTGGGATGCAACTCTCCCTGGGAGGTTAGTTCAGCATCGGCGCTTGTATATCCGTGGTTGAAAACTGGCCTGATCCGGCTTGATCCCATTTATTACAGTTTAATCTGGCTCCATCTCGGGCTGCTTCGGCTTAATCCGGCACGATGGCCCTGCAGTCGGGCTTAGTAGCCCGTCGTCGTCCTCGAAGAGGCCTCCCAGGAAATCGCCTCCTAAGCTGGAGTGATGAGTGAAGGCAGCCTAAACGTGATGTCTTGGCGAATAACAGCGACACGCGCGTACAGACACTTTTCTTCTTCTGGCGCCCCAGTGGGTCTGACTGCCGGGCGGTTACACCAGCGGGCCACGCTCAGAGTCATCGTCAGCTTCCCTGCGGAGTGGCGTGGCCGAGCGATGCTCCCACAGATGTGCGCCCCGGCGACCGACACACACACGCACGCTGACAGTGATACACCTACCCCTCGATTTTGGAGTCGCGCCCTTCGTCACGCCCAGCAACCGAACGCGCTCCACTCCTCGCAAAGTGCCTACTCGCAAGTGTCTGGAACATGACTGTCTGCCTCGATGTAGTAGGTCGTACATCCCCCGCAGCGGATCGAGGCCGTTTGCGAGTAGTTACTTTGCGAGTCGTGGAACACGCTTGTATACACAGGGTCACGCCCTCAAGTTCCTGCCCAGATAAACCAGTGGGGTGAAGGAGAGGGGAGTTTTGGAGGGTGGATGGGGCTCCCTGGTTTCTGATCCCCACACCTTGGTTCCCCATATCCAAAGAATGTGGTTATTGTTATTGCCCCGCCCGCGCCAAGAGTCACCTTCCTTCTCCCTCCTCCCTCCTCCTCTTCCTCCTCATGTTAAGTTATGTTTGTATTTTGTGGTATGGGAAGATAAGGTATGGTATGGTATGATATGGTATGTTATGCCATGATACGTTACGTTATGCTATAGTATGAGATGGCATGCCATGTTATGGTATGGTCTACCATATTATGTTATGGTGTGCTATGGCATGCTACGGCATGTTGAGGTATGTCATGCTATGTTGTATTTTGATGGTGGTGGTGATGATGATGCTGATGATGATGCTGCTGATGCTGATGCTGATGATGCTGTTGATGATGATGATGCTGATGCTGATTCTGATGATGCTGCTGCTGATGATGCTGATGCTGATGCTGATGCTGATGCTGCTGATGATGATGATGCTGATGATGATGACGATGATTATGCTGCTGCTGCTGCTGCTGCTGCTGATGATGATGATGATGATGATGATGATGATGATGATGATGATGATGATGCTGGCGGAGCAAATTCTGAGGAGATCTCGAGCGAGGCGCGGGTTTCAGCACCCCCAAGGGCCAGCCGCCAGGGGGTATTGCACTCCTCCATTCGCGCCAAACTGGCGGGGATGTCTCGAGCGGGGTGTCTGTTTCGGTGCTCAACGTCCTCTCCAGGAGGCCCCAGGAAGCTCCAGAGGGCCTCAGGAGGCTCCAGGATGCTCTAAAGGCCACAGGAGGCAACATGAGGCCCCAGGAGGCCACAGGAAGCGCCAGGAGGCACCAGAAGGCCCCAGAAGGCACCAGGAGGCCCCAAGAGGCCGCAGGAGCAGGATGCCTCAGAAGGCCACAGGAGTGCATGAGTGTTGTAGGTATGCTTCTAAAGATTGTGCCTCCCCTGGGGCACGAGTCCTTGGTGTTTTGTCGACGTTTCTATAGATTGTCCTTCTCTTGTGTATCCAATCTTACGTGTTTTCCGTATGCTCCTATCTCCCCTGGGGCACGATACTTAGGTGATTTACGTGTGTTCCTGTAGATTGCCCTTCTCTTGTGGCTCCAATCTGCGGTGTTCTATGTACGTCTTTTCGTAGTGATTGGGCCTCTCCTGGGGCACGAATCCTCGTCAGGAGGCCCCAGAAGGCTCCAGGAGGCTCAAGGAGGCCCCAGGAGGCCGCACGAGGCCCCAGGAGGCATCAGAAGCCCCAAGAGGCTTCAAGATGCCCCAGGAGGCCCTGGGAGGCCCTATGAAGCCCCAGGAGGTCTCAGGAGGCCCCAGGAGGCCCCAGGCTCAAGCGCACAGACTCACTAGTACTACTGAGGCTCAGTCACACCAATTCATTCACAGTTAGACTCACTCCCAGTCTATCAATACTCAAGCCTGATCAAATCCGAAATCTTCTGGGCCTAGGCACTCACGGCGGAAAGGTCCATGCACATATATGCACATATGGGGGAGCTCCACGCGGTGAAAAATTCAAGGGGGGGAGGAGCCCCTTGGTCTCTGAACCCCCGTTGGGGGACATGTTCAGGCCAGCCACGGTGGAGCTCGCGCTCCCTCGGCGATCTTGAGGCCATCTCGGGCGCACCCTCGGCCCGTCCAGGAAGCATCCCGGGGTCATCTTGGTCGTAGCCGTCTTGGAGACCCACCCTCCTGGCTGTCTTGGAGGCCGTCTTGGAGCCGGCCCGAGCGGGGGGCCCGATCGCCCGCGGGAGGCTCTTTTAACGCGTCCTTCTGGACGGCCAGCGGGTCGGGCCGAGGGCCCTTGGGAATCTGTAGGAAACAACCCAACGCGTACCTAACGTCTGGCACGCCGTGCATTCCTGTGGCAAGCCGCAGGAAGGGATGTCTAGCCGCCTTTGGTCCATCCCGCCACCGTGCCCAGGTTGTTGAACAGAAGCATTTTGGAGGCCTCTCGGGGTCTCATTGGAATGGAGGAGGAGGAGGAGGAGGAGGAGGAGGAGGAGGAGGAGGAGGAGGAGGAGGAGGAGGAGGAGGAGGAGGAGCCTCTTGGAGCCTCTTGTGGGCCCTTTGGGGCCGGGGCTTTCTAGGGGGGACGCCTGGGGCTTGTTCGGGGCCTATGGCTGGGGGTTCCATGGATGCCTGGAGGCCGTCTCGGAGGCCATCTAGGGCTGGAGGGCCCCAGCGGTCCAACGTTTGAGTATTCACTCAGCACAGAGAAGTTGAATAATCCTGAGAACCAAGAAAGGGAACAGAGGCACGTTGGCTGATCAAACTACTCAGCGGTCTGACGCATGCCTACCGATGCAGACGCGGCGCAGTATCTGAGCACGTCCGCATGCGCTCGCATCTTCACATGCGCGCGTTGACCCTGCGCGAGTGATCTCTGTCAGTTCTCGTGGCGGGCGACGTGCTGACTTGCGTCAGGGGGGGTCCGCCAGGGAGAGGAGCCACGGAGGTCGAGGCAGCGCAAGCATGGATTGAAACGCATGGGTGAGCGGCGGGTCCCTGTTCCATGCCGAACGAGCGCGCGCCGTCGCCGAATATTGTCAGTCTGAAGCAGATCCCTGTCACTCGATACCGATCTTAATGGCTCCCTCGGTTTCCGAGGGCACATAAATCGGGGGTGGACAGAACCCCCAACAGTGACACGTCGATTGGTGAATTGTCCGTTTTCGGTTCTCGAGAGGGCGCCGTGGCCGTCATTTTCCAGGCTTGCGCCCGCCAGGTTTGGGCCTCAGGTCGTTTTCACTAAACCACGTTTTACTAAAGAGGGGTCTGTCCATCCCCGAATGAATAAGATTGTCATCGCTTTTGGCCTGCCCATCTTAGGGATGAAGATCAGTTCGAGGCTGGTTGAAACTGGGCGGCGCTGGGTGCACGCTTCGCGGGGGACCTTCCCGCTCCGTGTCTTTGGCGCACACGCGCCAGCTCCGCGGATCCTCGCGCAGTTACGTGCGCATGCGCTGGAGGAGGAGCCCTCGTGGCTCGGGGGGGGGGAGGAGCGCGGGTTGGTAGCGCCCAGCGGTGAGTCTCGGGCGATGTGGTGCCACCAGCAGTTTCGGGGACGCGTGTGGTTTTTCGAGGATGTTCCGAACGCTGGTGGGCCCAGGAGTCACAGAACCCGGCGGTGACCCCGTGTTCCAAAACCTGGCGGTGATTTTTGATTGACTTTAGGTCACCACCTGATATCTCACCACCTGGTTTGGGGGCTCCCGAGCGGGGAGGGAGGAGGCACCCGCCCCGCGAGCGGGTGCGACCCGCGCGCGCGCGCGATGGGTGCCGAGTGCTCCGCCAGCAACTGCGGCTGCGACGCGCCGGGCCCTCAGCACGGCGCCGCGCGGCCGCCGACGCGCCGCTGCTTTTCGCCGTGCTGCTCCGTTGGGGGGGGGGGGCGGCGCCGCAGGGGCCTCGTCGTGAGCCGGCTTCTCGCCTTGCTTCCACTTCTCGGAGGACGGGGAGCCTCTCTCTCCACCTCCTCTCCTCCTCCTCCTCCTCCTCCTCCTCCTCCTCCTCCTCCTCCTCCTCTTCCTGCTCCTCGTCCGCGCGACAGGGCACGCGGCGCAAACACAATCTCTCGGATGGCCTCTGGCGCCGCCCTTGGCGCGTTCCACGTGCCAGGGAGGGTGGGCCCAGCCGCCGATCCACACAAAATCCGCGCGGGCCTCCGAGAAACTGTGGTTGGGCCTTTTTTTTTTTTTTGTTTTTGTTTTTCTGTCTTCGTCCTGCATCCTGCTTCGGCTGCCCTTGGTCTGCAGACGGTTTCGCGTCCTGCACACCCCCGGCAGTGCCGCCCCTGGCGGACTTTCGAGGACATCCGAGTTCCGAGTTCCGAGTTCCGAGTTCGGCTGCCCTGCGTTTGCCTGCTGCTCTGTTGGCCCATCTAGTGTTGAGTCGGGCGTGTCTCTCTGCAGGAGGAGAATATTCGAACGTAGTCAAAACATAGGCTGGGGACGATTCTTCTATTATTTTTCAGACTATTCTTGAATCTATGTTTTTGACCATAATTTATCTTTCGTCCCAGATAAGCCTGTAGGAGGACATGCCCAACCCAAGTCTAGTGGGAGCTGTGCGCCCTCCCCTCGGTGCTGCCAGACGCACAGCGGCCAACGGGCGGGGAGCGTGTCGCCGCCTCCCTGCGTCCCGCGGGGGCGGTCCGGCGGACTGCCGCCCCCCCCCCGCAGAGGCAGTGAGGCCGTGCATCCCCGGGGTGTCGCCAGTCGCACGATGGTCGCCATGCTCCTACCCTCCTCCCCCTCCTCCTCCTCCTCCTCCTCCTCCTCCTCCTCCTCCTCCTCCAGTTCGTCCTTTCGGGGGACCTGGCGGAGTAGCACCCGACGCCTACCGAACTGGACTTAAGCTGGGTGTGTCCCTCTATAGGAGGAGCAAGAATGGTAAACATATAGTTTGGGACGTTCTCTTCGATTATTCGTTGACCATGTTTTAGTATTGTAGTGGCCTCCGGCCAGTGCCGCCGATCCAGGACTTTTCCGTTGCAGCCGGAAGCGCACGATGGCGGTCATGACTGGCGACGACGGCGAGCGGTGAGGATAATGATGGGGATTGGGAAAGGAGGCGACGGAATAGGATGAGGAGGAAGAGGAGGAGGGGGAGGAGGAGGAGGTGGAGGAGGGGGGGAGGAGGAGGAGGAGGAGGATCATGATGAGGTGGAGTGGGGTTGAGGGGGGAGGGGCAGGAGTAGCAGGATGCGAGGATGAGGAGGAGCATGAGGAAGCGGGAAGTGGAATAGGGGGAGGGGAATAAGGAGGAACATGACGAGGATGAGGAGACATTCGGCGGTTGTTGGAGATGTTCGGCGGTTGTTGGACAGCCTCTTTGGGGCCAGGTGTTGGCCCTCTTTGGGTTGACACCTCGATTTGGCGCACTCTCTGAAAAGCTTTGTGCTAGAGCTGTCTGCGTCGCAGTTCTGTGTGGGGCCTTGTGCATCGCCTGTAGCAGCTGGGAACCATGGTGTTTTTGGGGTCTCTGGGGCCTTCGCGCGGTCCTCTGCGGGCCATTGTGATAATATGTGAGAACGTGGAACAACCTTTCGTGTTGCAGCGCTTGCGTCCAGACGTAAGCGTTCTGAAAGCATTGGGGCCGGTTTTGGGCTTATCGGGGGGAGTCTTGGAGGCAGCTTGGAGGCCTTCAGTAGGCGTCTTGGATGCATTTTTGGAATCTCTTGGAGGCCTGACGGGGGCTCCAGGGGCCTCTTTGGGGCCAGTTGGAAGCGCTTCGGGGCCTCTTCAGGCCTCTTGGAGGCCTCTGGGGGCCTACTGGGGGCTTCTTGGGCCGCCTTCGGCAGTTCTTCCGCCGTCTTGGCGCCCTCTCAGGCGCCTCGTGGGCCCGTCCTGGGGCCCTCTTGGGCCTTTCCGGGGGCCTCCTGGGCCATCTTGGGCCCTTCTTGGGCCGTCTTGGAACCCTCTTGGGGCTCCCTGGGCCGTTTTGGGGCTTTCTTGGGGCGTCTGCGACGCTCTGAAGGCCAAAGAGGCGAATGTGCTTAAATTGTACGTTCCTTCGGGAATACGGCACTTTTTGTTGAGGCTGAGGCAGGCTGAGACTGAGGCCGAGGCAGGCTCAGGAGGCTGAGGCAGGCTGAGGCTGAGGCAGGCTGCGGCTGAGGCAGAGGCAGGATGAGGCTGAGGCTAAGGCTGATGCAGGCTGAGGCTGAGAGGCTGACGCTGAGGCTGAGGCAGGCTGAGGCTGATGCTGAGGCCGAGGCAGGCTGAGGCTGAGGCTGAGGCTGAAGCCGAGGCAGGCTGAGGCTGAGGCTGAAGCTGAGGCAGGCTGAGGCTGAGGCTGAGGCAGTGGCTGAGGCTGAGGCAAGGCTGAGGCAGGCTGAGGCTGAGGCTGATGCAGGCTGAGGCTGAGGCTGAGGCTGAGGCGAGGCTGCAGGCTGAGGCTGAGCTGCTGAGGCTGAGGCAGGCTGAGGCTGAGGCCGAGGCAGGAGGCTGAGGCTGAGGCTGAGGCTGAGGCTGAGGCTGAGGCAGGCTGAGGCTGAGGCTGAGGCAGGCTGAGGCTGAGGCTGAGGCTGAGGCAGGCTGCTGAGGCTGAGGCTGAGGCTGAGGCTGAGGCTGATGCAGGCTGAGGCTGAGGCAGGCTGAGGCTGAGGCTGAGGCAGGCTGAGGCTGAGGCTGAGGCCGAGGCAGTCTGAGGCTGAGGCCGAGGCAAGCCGAGGCAGGCTGAGGCTGAGGCTGAGGCTGATGCTGAGGCAGGCTGAGTCTGAGGCAGGCTGAGGCTGAGGCAAGCTGCGGCTGAGGCTGAGGCAGGCTGAGGCTGAGGCCGAGGCAGGCGAATCCCTCGGAATCCTTAGGGATTCCCTAGGAATCCTCAGGAATCCCTCGGAATCCCTAGGAATCAGGATTCCTAAGGATTCCTAAGGTTTCCTCAGGATTCCTATGGATCCTAAGGATGCCTAAGGATGCCCTAGGAATCCCTAGGAATCCTTAGGATTCCATTGAATCCTAAGGCCGTTGCCACTGCGACTGTCATTGCGAATGCGACTGCGACTGCGAGAACAGCAGAATTCTACAACTGGATTCTCACCTGAATCTTAAGGGGAATGCTTCCAGATATGTTTATACACATCGCTGTTAGGTTGCTTTGCCGGGATAATTTTTGTTTGGGTTGTTACCCGGCCGTGGCCACGAGCAGTGCGCTCGGAACCCAGGAGAGGTCAGGAGGGGAAAGAACACACAGGACTCAATTCATCGTCGATCCCCGGGAAAGGACGGGAAAATATGGGGAGTGGGTGGAGAAGAAGAACGTCCAGAAGATATGGGAAAAGATGGGGAATCCTGAGATTTGGTCGGCCTCCTGTCTGACCCGTGTCCCAAGCGAGGAGCGGCGCGAGGCGGCCCAGAGGGCGACGCGCTCTCAGAGGCGTCGCCCGTGCTCCTCCCCGTGGGCGCTCGCGCGGCAGAGGCACGCGCTCGGGAGGGAGAGCAGGAGGGGGGGGATCAGTTGGAGGATGAGGGCGAGGAGCATGGAGGGAGGGAGGAGGAGGAGGAGGGTGAGGGAAGCAGAGATAGGAGGAGACAGGAGGAGGACGGGGAGGACGAGGAGGAGGAGGAGGAGGAGGAGGGAGGAGGAGGGAGGAGGGAGAAGGGAGGGAAGGGGGAAGGGGGGGGGGGGGAGGGGGGAATGGGGGGGAGGGGGGAAGGGTGGGGGAGTGAGGATGAGAACAGGAGGAGGAGAAGGGAGACGGAAGAAAACGTCGGCGGCGGCGGCGACGTCGACGACGACGGGGACGCAGCGCACTGAGGGGGTCGCCCCATGGTGCGGTCAGCGTCAAGTCCCTGAGCTCCAAGGCGCGGGATGAAGCCTCGTCGTCGTCGCCGTCGTCGTCGCCGTCGTCGTCGAGGTCGTAGTCGTCGTCGCCGTCGTCGTCGTCATCTTCGTCGTCGCCTCAAGTACTCTTCTTCTCCTCCTTCTCCTTCTTATATTTCCGCTGCTTCTTCGCCCTTATTGTTCTTCGTCGTCGTCGTCGACTCTCGCATCCTCATCCGAGGATGAGGAGGAAGAGCAGGAGGAGGAGGAGGGTGAGGGTGAGGGTGATGAGGTTGATGATGATGCTGCTGATGATGATGATGATGGTGCTGGCTGATGATGCTGACGTTGATCATGAGGAGGAGGACAGCGGACAAGGATCATGATAATGATAATGATGATGACGATAATGATGAATTCGAGGAAGGGGAGTAGGATGAGGATAATGAGGATGAGGGACGAGACAGAGAAGGTGGAGGACGGAGAGGATGAGTGATGATGCTGCTGATGATGATGGTGATGATGCTGCTGCTGACGGTGCTGATGATGATTATGATGATGATACTGATGGCGTTGTTGCTGCTGATGATACTGATCATGATGTTGATGATGATGGTGATGCTCATGATTATGCTGGTGATGATGATGACGATGATGATGGTGATGTTGCATATGATGATAATGATGATGAAGAGGATGATGTTGATGATGACGATGATGATGATGATGATGATGAGGAGGAGGAGGAGGAGGAGGAGGAGGAGGAGGAGGAGGGTAGCGGACAAGGATCATAATAATGTTGATGACGATGATGAGGAGGAGAAGAGGAGGAGGAGTATAACGAGGATGAGGGGCGAGACAGAAAAGGAGAAGGACGGAAGGAAGAATATTGATGATGATGTGGATGCTGATGGTGATGATGATGATGCCGATGCTGATGCTGATACTGCTGCTGCTGCTGATGATGACGCTGCTGATGATGATTACGATGCTGATAATTTGCTGCTGATGATAATGATCATCATGTTGATGATGATGCTGATGCTGATGCTGATGATGGTAATGATGAGTGTGATGATGCTGCCGCGGATATTGATGCTGCTGATGATGCTGCTGATGATGATTATGCTGATGATGCTGATGGCGATGATGAGGAGAAGACGACGATGAGGTTGATGATGATGATGATGATGATGATGATAATGATGATGATGATGCTTCTGTTGATGTTGTTGTTTATGGTGATGGCTGATGGTGCTGATGCCGGTACCGTTGCTGTTGCTGCTGCCGATGAGGATGATGATGATGCTGATGCTACTAATGATAGTGAGAACGATGATGATGGTGATGATGCTGATGATGCTGCTGATGATGATGATGATGATGACGATGCTGATGCTGTTGATGATGATGCTGATGCTGATGACGATGCTGATCGTGATGCTGCTGATACTGATAGTGAGCAGGATTATGATGCTGATGATGAAGAAGGTAACGGTGCTGCTGCTGCTGCTGATGCTTATGATGCTTATCATGCTGATGTTGATGGTGATTACGATGATGCTGATCATGATGATGCTGCTGACGGCGATGATGCCGATGGCGATGTGATAATGATGTTGTTGCTGCTGCTAATGACAATACTTTCACTAATACTGCTAATGCTGAGATTGCTATTAATAACGGTACTGCTGCTAATACTGACACTGTCAATAATAACGATGCTGTTGTTAATGCTGATGATGATGCTGATGCTGCTATTGATTATGATGCTGATCATGATGATGCCGATGAAGCTGCTGATGATGACGATAATGATGATGCTCATGCTGATGCTGATGAAGATGAGGATGATGATACTGTTGATGATTATGATGCTGCTGATGAGGATGATGAGGATGATGATGATGATGATGATGATGATGATGATGCTGATGATGATGATGTGGATGATGCTGCTGATGATGATGCTGATGAGGTTGATGCTGATGGTAATGGTGCTGATGCTGACGATGACGCTGATGTTGCTGATGATTGTGCTGCTGCTGCTGATGATGATGATGCTGATGATGATGATGATGATGATGATGATGATGACGATGCAGATGGCGGTCACGTTGATGCTGTTGCTGCGGATGATGAGGATGCTGATTCTGCTCATGGTGATGATGGTGTTGATGCTTCTGGTGATGATGCGGATGCTGATGATGCTGATGCTGATGCAGATGATGAGGATGATGGTGCTTGTGGGGGGCAATCAGAGGTGATGAGGGTTGATGAGATGAGATGCGAGGAGATGAGGGTCGGAGGAGGAGGAGGAGGAGGAGGAGGAAGAATAAGAGGAGGAGGAGGAGGAGGAGGAGGAGGAGGAGGAGGATGAGGACGAGGACGAGGAGGAGGAAGAGGAGGATGAGGAGGAGAAGTATGAGGAGGAGGAGTTGGACAAGGAGGATGAGGAGGAGGAAGAGGAAAAGGACGAGGAAGAGGAGGAGGACGAGGAGGACGAGGAGGAGGAGGGGGGATGAAGAGGTAGCAGGCGAGGGGAGAACGACGGAGGAGAGTGAGAGGGCGGAGGAGGAGGAGGATGAGGAGAAGAAGTGTGAGGTGGAAGAGGAGGAGGTGGTGGATGAGGAGGAGGGGGAGGCGGATGCGGAGGAGGAGAGCAGGAGGAGGAGGGGACGGAGGAGGAGTATGAGGAGGAACGACGAGGACACTGGAGGAGGTGGAGGAGGAGGACGGAGAGGATGAGTGGTACTGCTGATGTTGATAGACTGATGGTGATGCCGATGATGATGATGCTGATACTGATGATGCCGATGATGATGATGATGATGATGCTGCTGATGATGATGATGATGATGCTGATGATGATGATGATGCCGATGACGATGATGATGATGATGATGATGATGATGCTGATGATGATGATGATGATGTTGCGGATGAAGACGACGATGATGTTGATTTTGATCATGGTGATGATGGTGAACATGATGATGATGTTGATGATGATACTGATGATGGTGATGCTGCTGATGATGATGCTGACAAGGATGCTGATAACTTAGATAATGATGCTGATGATGATGGTGCGATGATGCTGGCGGTGGTGGTAGGGGTGGTGGCGTTGATGCGGCTGATGCAACTCACGATTGTTGTTATGCTGCTGCTGATGATGCTGCTGCTTATGATGATGTTGCCTGTTTCTGGTGATAATGATGCGAATGACAATTATTTTGATGATGTAGTTGATGATGATGCTACTGCTGCTGCTGCTGCTGATGATGACGGTGATGATGATGACGCCGATACTGATGATGTTGCTGATGATGATGATGATGATGATGATGGTGCTGATCATGATGCTGATGCGAATGATGATGATGCTGCTAGGATGCTATTGATGCTGTTTGTGTCGATGCGGTTGCTGCTGCAGAGGATGATCATGCTGATTTAAATGATGTTGGTGCTCCTGCTGCGGCTGTTGATGATGGTGATGATGACGATGATGATGCTGAGGCTGAGGCTGATGCTGCTGCTGATGATGCTGGGAATGATGATTGAGAGTCTGATGATACTGACACTGATGATACTGATGACGCTGATGATGATGATGATGCTGATGATGATGATGATGGTGATGCTGAGTCTGAGGGTGCTGATGTCCTGCTGATGATATTTTGGTCATGATGCTGACCCTGATGCTGATGATGCTGCTGCTGATGATGCTGATGATGAGGATCATGACAATGGTGATTATGAGGATGATGTTGTTGATGATGATGATGTTGATGCTGATGCCGATGCTCATGATGATCATGCTGCTGATGATGATGAGGATGATGGTGAGGATGATGAGGATGATGGTGGTGGTGATGATGATGATGATGCTGATGACGATGATGATGATGATACATGTGATGCTGATGATGCTGATGATGATGGTTGTGGTGGTGCTGCTGATGATGATGATGATGATGATGATGAGGATGATGAGGAGGAGGAGGAGAGGAGCCGACGACTCCTGGAGCGATGCTCCAATAATCGCCTGGCTTTAGTTTGAACAGACCCCCAAGGCCGACTGGCCCTGGTGGGGGGGGGGTTCTGTCTGAACGACCACATAGCTGACAGGAATCAGGAATCAGGAGGAGGAGCAGGAGGAGGAGGAGGAGGAGGTGGAGGAGAAATGAGGCGGATGAGGAGGAGGAGAAGAACGAGGAGGAGTGGAGGAACGAGGAGGGCACGGGAGGAGGTGGAGGGGGAGGACGGAGGGGGATGAATGGTGATGGTTCTGATGATGATGATGATGATGATGATGATGATGTTGATGATGATGATGATGATGGTGGTGGTGGTGGGGGTGGCGGTGGTGATGATGCTGCTGATGTTGCTGCTGATGTTGTTGTTGATGATGGTGTTCTTTGTTTGTTTGGTTTCTTGTCGTTGGTGATGATGGTGCTGCTGATGGAGATCACGGTGATGATGATGGTGAGGCTGCTGACAATGTTGCTGCTAATGGTGACGATGGCTGTTGATGATAACGATGATGGTTCTGATGATCCTGATGATGATGTTGCTGATGATGATGCTGATGACGATGCTGATGATGATGATGACGATGATGAGAATACTGCCGCTGGGATGCTGATGCTGATGCTGATGTTGGTGCTGCTAATGATGATGACTATGACGATGCTGATGTTGTTGATGATGATGATCTTGTTGTTGTTGATGCTGATGCTCCTGCTACTGATGATGATGATGCTGATGATGATGATGACGCTGATGATGATGCTGCTGATGATGCTGATGTGATGATGATCATGCTGATGCTTTTGATGATGATGATGCTTATGATTATTGCTTTTATTTGTGTGATGATTCTGATGATGATGTTGATGCTGATGGTGATGCTGATACTGATGATGATTTTAACCCTGTGGCTGCTGCTGCTGCTGATGATGATGACGATGTGACGATGATGACGCTGATGATGATGATCATTCAACTCATGATGATACTGCTGTTGTTGATGATGGCG